CCACAGTTCTTGATCCTATCTCTCCTAAATATGCCCCCATTTCAGGTCGCTGTTATACAACCTCTGATGTTAACAGGTGGTAGATATCTCTTTATTTCCTAAAGGTGTTCCTTACAAATAAGAGTACGAGTTTGCTATTACTGTCAGGTGATGCTTGGTAAAGGAAGGTACTACAATGGTCGTCCACATTAATTCACCATTCTTTCCTTATGCTTACTCGGCTTTCTAACAGACTAATAAGGAATCTTCATCTTCTATCCAGACACCCACCCACCACAGTCTGTCCAAATCATCATTTTGCCTTTCGACCCAGAGGTACAGACAATAATTCTACCCACCCACTCCATAACTCCAAACACACCTCATTATGCAGAATTTATAATGTCAGAACTGGAAGGGTCTTTGAGATTACTCAGGCTAACACCACACTACAAATGAGAAAACTGAGAACACAGAAAGAGAAGCGACCAAGCAGCCGGGGCCTGACTTGGAGTCTAGTGCTCTTTACTCAGACCAGGCTCTCTCCTACCATCTGACAAAACGAAGTAAATTCGTCTTACGGTCCTACGGCCTCCCCTGCGCGTCTCTGCTGTTACACCTTTCCTCAGCCGCCCCTCTCACTGCGTGAGCTGGTTGAGAGCTGCCACCATCCGCCAAAGCCTGGATCAGGGTCCGTCCCAACGCCAGCCTGGGACCTGAGGCCTGCGGAAGCCCTGGGAAAAAGTCCGAAACCTGCTCAGTCCCCGGAACCTTAGGTATCGTCACTGCTGCGTGTCGGCGGGAGCATTTGGCGGGTGCCCAAGTGCCTTCGTCACTTCCGCCCCCGCGCGGAAGCTGGGAGGTCGGAGGACTAGGGAGGTGGGGATCCAGGGGCGGTGGCAGTCCGGAATCTAGGCGACGGGGAGAGACGGGGCCGGGAGGTGGCGGGAGGGGGCCGGGCCGGAGCCGGCGGGAGGGCCAGGCCCGGAGGCCCCCACCCTGGCGTGCTCGCCCCGGCCACGGCTGAGGAGGAGGAGGTGGAGGATGATCTCCAGATACAATCGGAAGGCGGTGCCACAGAACTTGGAGCTGTGAGTGGACTGCTCAGCCACCCCAGCTGGGCCGGGGGAGGCTGAGGCTGGCCGCGGGCTCTCTGGGGACCCTCCTTGACCAGTCTTTCGCTACTTTTCTTTCCCGGCGTTGGGAAGAGAAATTTTTCTTCGGAATTCACTCCTCTCGGCCCTGCTGGACTCTGCCCCTTGTCTCACCATCTCCAGCTGAGGGCGTGTCACCTGTGCTATCCTAGGACTTAGCGTCTTGGGCTGTAATTCCTGAACTCAGGGATTGGGTCTCTTGGAGCCTTTGTAGTTTCCGCAGTGCTTCAGGCCCCACTGTCAATGGCAATTAACAACTAGAGAAGTTATTAATAGCTGAGTGCTGCAATAAAGTTGAATACATCTAGTGCCACACACTGTGCAAAGCTATCCTATTATTTTGCACATTCTACGGATAAAGATTTCAGATTTAAAGACTGTAGCATGCCAAAGATCACATTCCCAGAAGGTGGTGGAGCTGAGAGGTACAGACCTGGTGTCGCTCTGATCCCGAAGCCTGTGGTCATAACCATTACACTCACTACCTCCCCACCTGTGCAATTAAGCATCAGAATCCATAAGGACCAGTTTTGCTTTTGAGATTTAGAGAGCAAATATTTCTGGCTTAAAGACCCACCTCCTACTCCTAGTAAAGTGTTGTAATTTAGCAAGTTAATGATAATGTCTTACATTTATTAATGCTTTACACTTTCAAAAGGACTTTCACTTTTTGATCTTTATAACAACTCTGAAAGATGGGTATGATTATCTTCAGTCTTTAAGAAGATGAAATTATATCAGAAATGTTACATATTTTAAGATTGAATAGCCAATACAGTCAGGATTTGAGCATGGGGTTTTTGAAACCAAATCCTAGGGTATTTTTTGCCTTCACTGAGCTATGTGATTTTAGCAACCATATATTTATTAATTAAATATTAACTGTACATGGTAATAGTAAGCATGATATTTTGAGTCACACTGGGGTTTCTGGCTAGGCTCTTTTTCCAGTCATATGACTTTTAGGCAAATTACTAAGTCTCAGAGCCTTCATTTCTGTAATATAGGAATAAGACCTTATCTAAAAGCATGTCTAAAGTGATGGCATAGGGCTTGACACACAGTAGGTCCTCAGTAAATGGTATTTTCTTTGTCCCTTCCCACTTTTACTTGGTACAATAGACATACAAAGAAAATAAGTCTCAAATCTCTTCTTGCCTTTTTAGAAGCTTATTATCTATTAAGGAATAAGATATCTACATGGCTGGGCGCGGTGGCTCACGCCTGTGGTCCTGGCTCTCTGGGAGGCCAAGGCGGGCGGATTGTTTGAGCTCAGGAGTTC